GAGAGAGATTGAAAGAGAGCGCTCGACTCGCAATCTGTGGGTCGTGGGTTCAAATCCCCGTCACACCAAACATGCTCGCCCTTTCAGCCATGGGGGCGATATAAGTGACGGTCAATCTCACTATTCGTTATATAAAAGAGTAGCCCGAGAGTTGGCGGTGGGTGGTGATGACTAGCTAACTTCCCTCTAGTTTTACACTGCTAAATTAGGGACGGCTAGAGTAGATAGCCCTCGTGAAGCTTTGCGCGAAATCTGCAACAAACAAACATAACATTGACGTGGTTGGTAGACTTGTATGGTATTCTTGGTAGTTTAGTTTTTCAGCTAACAGACTAATGTGTTTGATTGATCATCTTCTTAACTTGTCAGAATTTGATTCAATAGTGATGATAAAAGCAGAAAAATATATGCAAAGGCTTATTATCTAAATAATGTAGTTAGTTTCAAAACATTGAGAAAATACTTCCTTCACTACAATAATGTTTTTTAATTTAGAATTTCCAACTGTTACTCTTGATGATGATGATGATGATGAAGAAAGTGATGATGATGACTGGACACCAGCCAAAGGTTAAAGATTTTTTTCTGTTCAGTGTGTGAAAGAAAAGGCAGGCAATATATATTGTAGTATCATATTAATAGATCATAACAAGACACTTCTATTTGAAACTTTTCCAGCAGTGTGAAAAATCTCACTGTTGACTTTTAAGAATAGGGAAATTATTTCCAACCCTAATTTTTTGTGACATGATTATAAGAACTGCAAAGAATATATAGCACAAAAAAATATTAATATCTCAAGCTGATTACAGTTTTTTCATGTGATTTTTGAAGTGTTGGTTGGTGGTTGGGTAAGGATAACCAATGCTTTTCAACAGGGACTTTTACTGACATTACTTATGTAAATAATTTTTATAGCTACATGCACTTCTCTTAACATATTCTTTTGGACAACAAGGGACCATTTGATCCTTCAAAGTTGCACTTGCACAGTCACCCCTTTTAAACTCCTTGAAAGTGCTGAACTGCACTACTGTTGATGGCATGGCAACTCATTCCATAAGTCAACTACCCTGTTAGAAAATTAAACTGTTTTAACTGAAACCCTGCATATATTTTCCAAATTTTACGTGTGTCCTCTTGTCCTATTATAGTACTAAGATTCATTTCTTCAGTCATGCTGTTGAGTAGGTTCTCATCGATATTACATGTGTGATCCAAATTACATGATAATCAAATGCATTATCTTGCATGTTTTTCCAAGTATTTGTCCAACTTACAGACAGATTCTTCGAAGTCTTTCTCTAGTACCTCAGCATCCTTAGTACAGCTAAAAATACTCAAAAGTTTAATTTTATCAACAAATTATACTAATTTATGAATTATTCCCCTACCTCTATCATTAATGTATATAGGAAACAGCAAGTTATTTTACTAATGATTGAAAAATGGGTGGAATAGCTGAATCTGAAAATATGTCTTTTATCAAAACTTTTAAGTTCAATGAATGATCAAGATCAAATATTAAAACATGGGTTTCTGAACATGAAATATGAACATATAGTGACATTTTTGTTCCAAGACAATAACTCTCCTCTTCACACTGAAATGCTATCTTCTTCATGCATCCGCCTATGAGACTTGCAGCCACTAACCTTAAGTTAATTCACGTGTTAAATGTGAACTGTGATGGTGTATGATGATGTTACTGCGTGACAAAAACCCACCATCAATAGGAGGATGACACAACCTCCATGCTCATGCTCAGTAACCCCCCTATGCACTTGCACTCGTAATAACGTCATTCTCTTCCTCGGCATTGTATGATACAGACATCTTCAAATTTCATCTGTCTTCCATTTGATGAGATTTGCATTTGTTAACAAAACTTTAATTTTCTTTAACCTTTGTTTCAAAATCTTTAATTTTTATCATAAATTCTCGAGTAACAGGCTTTATCTCTGCTATGGTTTCTGGAGGCTTGTTAACTGTAGGTAATTTTCCATCATTTGTTCTCTACATTGTGTATTACCACGTTTAATGGATCTCCTACTTCCATCCCATCAGCCGACATTCTTTCTCCTCATTCAGGAATGGCTTATTAGACTATGAATTTCACCTGATTTGCTTTGTGTGTAGTGTCTTACCATTCGAGGTATGACCTTACCCTTCTAATTTCTTTCTGTATTTCCTTCTCAGGTATGTTCCTTTCCTTATCATTCACCTGTGTCCTTTAATATTTTTCATTCTTCACTCCATGACCAATTCTTGGGGTTTACCTTTTTCCTCCTTGCTTGTTATTAGGATTTGTGCTGTTTCCTTTGTCTAATAGCTCCTTTCTTTCACCTAAATGCCTCCTTCCCTTGCATTTGTGACTCTTTTGTCTGATTTACAGACATTCTTCCTTTCCTTTCTAATTTCCCTGTCTCTGGTATCTGTTTGTCCTGCTTGGGAATTGGGCCCCTTCCCTTCTATTTCACTCTTTGGTTCCCCATTTTTGTATCTGTTTGTTTCTCACCACTCTCCTGTATTCCCTCTCCTTCCTCCACTTTTGTATGAAGCACTTCATAGAGCTTCAGAAAGATTTTCTGTAAAAGTTTAGTTCTTTGCCAGCTTAGCCTGTTCCACCTTTTCTGCTCTGTCACTCCTTACTTTGTCCTCCCCATGGGGCTCGATGGGTTCAGTTGCATTTCTCTAAACTGGACATGTTTCTCCTTCATCATCCACCTTGCCCAACTCCTATGCCTGCCTGGGTCCTTATTGTGGTTTTGCATGCTATCATGTGTTCCCCATTTAAGCTGTTGGCTTCTTTTTCTCTTTATACCACTTTTCTCTCATGTCTTATTTCCTCCTCCTTTTCACGTGTTGTCACCATCATTCGACTTGTCTGTGCTATTGATGCTTCTCACATCTTCTTCCATTGTACTTATGCACTCCTCTACCCAGACTGGTCATTCCTTCTTTGGACTTCTGCCACTCTGGAGAGTCACTGCCCTTTCGCTCTTCATTCTATATCTCACCTCTATAAGCATTCAGATCCAGATTGGCTCTTGTGTTCTTTTTGGGCTGTTTCTTGTTGCTTATCATGGACTTCTCCCTTTTGGAGTCTTTGCCATCACCTGTTCTTCCCCTGGGACTCTATTCTTCCAGGAAACTCTCTTCTTCTACTTTTGCTGGATAGGTCCGTCGACTTCTCTGATTGGTACATTTATCACTGGATGTGGATGCTCATAGGCAAATTCACATTTCCTTGCATTCAGTTCATTACCTTTCACATTCTCTTGCTTTTCATTTTCATTGGCCCTAGGATGAGACTCTCTTTATCTTCACCATCTAACTGTTTCACATCCAACAAGATTTTGACTTCCACCAGTTGCCATAATTCAATCTACCCATTGTCTTTAAAATGGGTACATATGTATTCCTTTCCATTGAAAAGGATCCTGCCAGATGGCAGGTGTTACCTCCTGGGATATGCTTATTTTGCACAATCCACCAGGATAACAGTAAGTGCTCAGCCCATTTGTCCTGGCTCTACCAGTTCCTACTATGAGATGGAAGATCACTTGAGGTATCCTCATAGTATACATATTTACTCATTCGTCTAATCAAGACCATACTAATTCCATGAACTATCATGCAAAAGCCAGCACCAGAGAAATGACTGCCCACTTCTTTGGCTCATGTTTGCTGGCTTTCAAAAACAGAGATTTGCAGTCACCCATTACACTGTCTCCAGTAAAAGACCTTTCTGGCTGGTGGTCCAATGGGAAACCAGACACTTTGCTAGGTCTCCCCAAGGCAACTTCTTCCTTCTCTTCCTTGAGTGGAGCACAGGAAACCCTTGCCACTTACCAGTTCTTAGTTGCTGGAGTGGTGGACCATGGAAAATCCTCACCGGTTGTGCTTAGTGTAATACCATGAAAAGTGGGGCTGTGGTGTCACTGTCAGCATAGTTCAGGTCACCTCTTACAATCGTAACACGTAACTAATGTGCACTCCTCCTGCGGCAAAAGTTCAGTAGAATCAATGTGAGCAACCACACCTCACACATATTGGCTCACCAACTTCTTGTATGTAAGTACTCATATGTTCATGTTTTCATTCTGCTTGTCCCTGTGACACTTGTTTCTCCCTCTTACATTCTGGGCAAAGAGTATACTCTGGTATAGATTAGATGGGGTCTCCCATGGGTGTGTCCTTATGGAGCCCCTGCCATCAAGTGACACATCCATGGGCTTCCCTTTGGGTGCTTTTTGAAGGGAGCTCATCTGGGTAGAATTTTGCACCAGCCCATCCACCACTTCATTGTGGGATTTAGTATTTTAGAGTGAGGAGGTGAGTTATCGTCTCAGAAGTTAACCACTTTCCTAATCTGAAAATGTGTTTCCGATAGTTACTCACCTCCGCACATATTCCCATCTATTTTCTCCACTTCCAGTGTACTTTTTTTTTGTCTTGCCTCATCAAAAAATTATATTACCATGAGTGTCATTACATAGTGGGAGTTACTGCACATAGAGGTTGTTGATCTCCTATTGGTGGAGGTCTTTTGTTGCATTATGACATCATCATGCAGTTCACCTTAAACACCTGAATTTAGGTAAGTTATCTCAAGGCTAGTGGCATGCAAATCTCATGGGCAGATGCACGAGGAATATAGCATTCATGTGTGAGGTGCGTATCTATTGGAAATACATTTTCAGATTAGGAAAATGTTAACTTTAAAAAAATAGAAATAATTATTTGTAAGACCTTACTCATTTGCCAAGTAATTTACTTTATCAAAGAATTAAAATAAAGTTCCTAGAATTAAATTTTCAATTTAAGAGTAAAGTTACTCTTGATTGTTTAAAATGTGTCTCTTTTGAAATAATATATTTGGCTTTGGTATTATTACTATAGAAAGAATATTAGAATTAGTATTATGTATATCAGGTGTTTAAAATGCTTAAGAGTTGATACAGTCTACCTATTTAAGAAACTGCTTGTTCTATGGTATGATAAGGCTTGCATTTGGGTGTAAGTCACAGGTTCCATACATATGAATAACACAGGCCTGGGAATTTACCTTCATAAAAGTTGTTTTGGTTTTAATAACAGATTTTCCATAATTCAGCTACTCACATTTCAAAAATATTAATTTTTTTTTCTGTCACGTAAGACTCAAGTCCCCGCCCCACCAAACATGCTCACCCTTTCAGCCGTGGAGGCATTATAAGTTACGATCAATCCCACTATTCATTGGTAGAAGAGTAGTTCAAGAGTTGGCAGTAGGTGGTGATGACTACCTACGTTACCTCTAGTCTAGGGACGGCTAGTGCAGATAGCCCTTGTGTAGCTTTCAGCAAAATTCAAAACAAACAAATAAAACTGTCACGTAAGGATTTTTTACAAATCGGGAAGAAGAAAACTCTTATTAGATCAAATTATTTAGTTTACCACAATGAAAATTTTTCATTATTATGTTTGTTAAAAAAATACAAACAAACTGAAGAAAAGGGAAGAAC